TTATTTATTTTCAGATTTTTAGTCATATTTCTATACAATTAAAAGACTTTTTTTGTTGAATTTTAACACAATTTTTATAAACAAATCAAACTTCATTAGATTATAAAAAAAAAAGTTTGGATTAGTTGAATAATGCAGTTTTAAGAAATTATCTTACCTTGAAGATTGGCCATACAAACATAGCAGTCTGCAGTATGGTCCTTGCCTTCTCTCCATACCATCGGTACAGCAAATGACATACAGTTTGCTGTGCCCTCATTCCAGCGCCTTAAGACTACGACACAAGCTTTGCAGCATATATTGAGGCAAAGCTTTTGTCTTGATCGCCAAGCCTTATTCCAAAATATGCTTTGTAAAGGGACTTTACTAACGTAGTTATGGTGCATTGCTGATCACTGAAAGTTACCTTTCCACACACATAGCAGAATCTGGCAGGATTGTTTTTACATTTTTTATTTATTTTTATGAACTAATTTTTATTTATCTCATATATTAGCCTGTAAAAAAATTGGCATTTACTTGTCATGAAGTGAATTGATAAATAAAACTTTATAAATATACTTTATATAATGTTTATAAATATATTGATATACAACTTTCACCTGGGAATTGCGGTAAAGAGCCCGCAGAGTCTTGATCTTTAACACTAGACCTGATTGAGAAATTTGAATCGTAGACTCGGATTTAGAATGCATATTTCATTGAGAATCACCGAAGAAAACCCTAGAAACATTTTTGACGCAGCTCTGTGTAATTTCTTTTATCAGTGTAAATCGTGATTTTTATTTTTGAATTTTTATTTTTAAACGACTACAAGAGACGTACTAACAAGTGAGTATAATTTGAATTGTTAAATAATTAGATATTTCTGAATAGTTAGAGTGATTATGACGAGTTATAATGCGCAGCGCTGATACGTGATTTTGCACTTCAATATATTGCTGATATTTGATTTTGCAGTTAAACCGCAAATTTAGAATTGCCACATAGTCCGATAAAATTAATAGGGTTAATGGAGTTAGTTAGATTGCCATTAAGATATAATTTTCTAATAAATATAATTAATTGTAAGCTCTATTTTTTGTTTTTGTTTGTTTACTATTATTTTTAAAAAGACATGCTTAAAAGTGAAACCATATTATATCAATTTTATTATTGAAAAAAATCTGATAATCACTTGATGTTAATGTAAATATTTTCTATACTGTGAATTTATTTTCTTGAGGTCTTTTATGTATTGTTATTTTTGGAACATTCACGTGGTTACAAAATGGTGTTATTGGCAAATTCGAAAAAAGTTAATCAACCGACTTCAGCCGTCAGTGAAACTGACTCTGGAAATGAAAAGGATCCAACATTAGACTCTTGTGTGGTTCGTGAAACAAGCGCTAGTATAGATTATGATATGGATGCTCTCAATGACAACATTACTATAAATTCCTCGTTAATAAATGTGACATTTGGGGATATACAGCTAACATGTCTGATTTAATCAACTTTGAGTCAATTGATGGAGTTTTTGGCTCAACCGAAAACCAAGATCATAGTGAGCTCTCGACACAACACTTGTCCAATTCTAAAACTGTTACGGTAAATGATACCGGTGCAGAAAATAAATCTAGTCATTCCAGCGATCTTCAAAATTCTGGTTCAAACTATTCCGATGAACACGAGTCTTCAGAATCTTCCGAAAATGATAAATGATGTGAAAAATTCACCGCTCTCTTCTGGTGCTGTCCGCGTATCTGTTGATTCACTAAAGTCGCCAACCAGTCATAGGTCTCCTCAACCCGGCACTTCTCAGAATAATCGCGTGACCCATTTATCAGTTCATGTGAATTCAAATGATCAAGAACATTACTCAAACTTTGAAATACAACCGTCAATAACAAAGAAAACAAGATGCAAATGAGGGCGAGCTGAACCAAATAACTGGGAAAGAAAACGTAATGCTCTAAAGAGAATAAAAGGAGAAGAGTACAGAGGTCTAAAAAATCATTTCTCCACAACTGAAACCACTCTCGAGAACTATTGTAGCAGTTGAATTTGAAGCTCCATTTCTTAAAGCCAATGCAGTCTACTACAAAACAAATTTATCAGTTCATAATTTAACAATTTACAATGAGGCTAATGGTAACGTCACATGTTACTTATGGAATGAAAGCAAAGGAGGTTTACATGGAGACGTGTTCGCGAGTATAATATCGGACCACTCAGCGCGGTTAAGGTCATTTTGAAGATATTGCGGTCAGTCAGTTATTAGTTTAAACATAAGTGATTTTTCCGTAAAATAACTGGTCTGCAGAATAAACAGAATGTTTATTAGGAATTTTTTTTTTTAAATTTTTTGTTTGCATGAGGTCTTCTCGTGCGAGCGCAAGCAATTTTTCAAAATTAATTTAAAACTAAAAAAGCTTATCAAGATACAATTATCTTTTCAAATATAGTTTTAAGTAAAAATATATTTAAATAAAATCGTGTCACGCATTTACACATTTTTTGTATATATAGTTCGAGTAGAGCACTAACAATTAGTGCATTGTGTGTCTTTTAGTAAACGACTTGGGCAAGTCTAAAATACAAAATAAAATCCAAATTCTGACTCTTTTTTTTTTACAAATTCACAAGGGGGCCGACAACACCGGTTCTTCTCCAATTATTTTTTGAGGACCAGTTTAGGACCTCGATTTTTTTAAGTTTTTTTTTACTGATAATCACTATTTTTTACTGTTAATAAAGTGTTTAGTGCAATATGAATTGCGGTTTTTAGCATGCTGCCAACAGATTGCTTGTAGGTGTTGTTAAAGGTGGCATTTGGAAAAACAATATCAAGCGCAGCTTGGGCCGCAGCCTCGACGTTCAAAGTTTTTGTTTTGTCGTTAGTTTGATTATGAATAATACTTTAATATATTTATATATAACAATAATTTTTCCGTATATATAAATATTTATTTAAATTAAATGTACTTATATATGTATGGATATTAGTATATTTAATTTGAATATAAATTTCATATATTTTATATAAATATTCATAAATAACTTTTTGTTTTTATTAAAGTATAATAACACAAGTAATTACTATATACGAACAATAGCTTGTTTATCTAAAATGAAAATAAACAAAATGATTGAAAAAAAACACGATAAAAACGCAACTTCAAAATTCAAGTTAAGAAAAAAAAAAAAAAGAAAAAAAAAATACGACTCAAAAAATAAAACAAAATAAAGTTGTTAAGAATTTAGAAACTTGTTAAAACCCTCTAAAATAAAAATACTAAATAAAACAATCGATTAGATGTTTACAACAATAATATATAATTGAGGTTTATAAATATATATGTACGAAGTGAATATCAAGAAACAAAATACTAATTACATAAATTACTTAAAAGCACGTTTAGAAATATATAATAGTAAAAGTATAAAAAAAAGAATAGTAATGATAGGAATCTAAACTAAGAGAAGGAAAGTATGAGATAAAGCTAATTAGTGGAGTGAAAAGGTTTAAATAAAAAAACTTAGCTAAAATAAAATAAAATAAAAGCTAAAATAAAATGCCTCTTATCTCTTTAACTAAAAAGCATGAAGAAAAGTATTATTATTAGTGAAAAGGTTTTTTCAAAGTTTTCAAAAATAGTAACTTCGTCTTGTTGTTAACTTTATCTACAACTTTTATTTTATATGCAGGTATTAATGTATTGGCATTTGGCAAACAAATGTCTTCCCAGCAACTTTTAACATAATCAAGTTCTTCTATTAGTGTTTTTGTTCTAAAATGGTGTGGAACTTTTTTACTTATTTTAACATTTTCAAAATCATAAAATGTCACACCAACATCTGTTTCATACCAATAAATATTTGGTTCAATAAGAAAATCAGCTATTTTTTGTAGCATTGCCTGATATTTATTTGGGTAATTTTGTATTGGAGGTTGGTTGAACAAACTTGTATAATTTTGAAATGGACGATACTATTAAAGGAACTTCATTAAAATTATTTAAGTCATTGGATACTTGCATCCTTATTAACGCATTAGAAATAACATGGCATGGTTGACGGTTAGATGTGGTGCTTGTTGTGGTTTTGATAAAGTTAAATATTTGCTCTTCCTTTTCAGTGTTTGCAGCTCTACCAGAAATAAGTCTTAATTGGTCAGGAGCATGTGCAACCAAGCAGTGAAAATTTTTACCATAAAATTTTCGAACTGTTAAAACGTTCAAATTTTCTCCAAGGTTCGATATAATCAACATTACATGCTTAAATATCACTAAGTACATTTTTAATATAAGTTTGTTGGTGCACTCGGATTCTGGTTTGTATAATATTTCTTGAATTTGGCACATCGTAATAAAAATATCTGTCAAAGGATTTTGGGGAAATTTCTGCTGACAATATATTGATGTTTTTATTATGCATGATCTGTAGTCAACAGCTCCTTTTACATCTTTTCCTTCAAATGAAAGTTCAATAATTGATTCAATTTCTGTTTTCGCTTTTTTATCGAAATGGTGGGGTAGTTCTCTAAGAAGATTTTTTATATGATTAAAAACATCATGAAGAGGTTCCATTAGTAACTCATATTTTGATAAACCATTTTTTGGTAAACTGATATCAGGCTGATAAAATATAAGACTTGGAACTCTTTGAATACCATGCATGGTTTTTGTTAATTTTAAATCTAATAATTGCTTTGATTCATTTTTGGTAAAGTTTACATTTCGCTGATTTAATTCAACTGTTATTTCTTTTTTTGTTAGATATGAATAAAGTTTTTTTATTTTATCGTGACTTTTTTTCCTTGACTGTTCCGTAAAAAGGACTTTATCTTGTCGATCTTGTAAATTTATGCAAGCTCTATTTAATGAACAGGAATAATTAGAATGCTCAACGACATTAATGTCACAAATCCAGCATACATAATTACCTCCTTTTTGCTGACCTGCTTCAAATTGGGCTGAAGGACCATCACCTTTAAAAAATCTCATTTCATCATAAATTTAAATTTCACTATTCTTAATAGGGTCTTTCATCTGAATAATATCATTCAATCTTTGTTCTGAATAAACAAGCATTTCATCAGTAGCTGAACATCTCCCAAAGATATACCATATAGGAGCTTCAACAACCGCTTGAATGTTTATGGTTTTGTTATACTTTTGTTGATATTCTTCAGATGTATAATGAATTTCAGGATCAAATAAAGTTGAAATTGTCATTAAGACGTGACTATGGTTGCTTATAGTTGAAGTATCATGCCACAACATAAAATGTCTTTTTCGTTCAAATTTTTTTAATCTAATTTTTAAGTTATTGGTTTTTTCGTCTTGGTCAACTTCTTGCATTTCATTAATCCTTTTTAGATAGTTAATAATTGATTTACGCGACATTTTTTCATACTCTTCATCAGTTTTAACCCTCATATAAATCCAATGATTTTTTGTTATGCTATCTCTAATTACTTTTAGTGGATGTTCTCTGCCATCTATAGAAAAAGTTTCATTTTCTATTTCATTGTTTCTTACAAAAAGTTTGGAGAAAGTTTGTGGAGCAATAAGCTCTCCTAATGAATATTTATTTTCTGATACAAGCAAATTCAGTTTTGCTGCAACCTGAGCATTTGTTTCTTCTTGGGGAAAGGAAACATTCAAATCTGTTAGCCTAAACAAAATAAAAATTCAAAGTTGGTATATGCATAAATACTTGATTACATTTTTTGTTCTGTATTGTTGTTAACGTATCTTGTTTACAATAATAATTTTAAAAGTTCTGGTTTTTAATTTTAATTACTATTCAAAATATTTATTTATGAATTTGTGAAATTTTATGTTTGTTTTCAAATTATCAATCAATCAATCAATATATATTCTGAATTTACGTGATATTACAATTCAAGGTTGGTTACAAATAGTAAATTACTAATGATGCGTAAACACCTAATAATATTTTTAATAATAATTAATAACGACTTTAAAAATAGTAACATTAACAGTAATAATAATGGTATTTATAACAATAAAAATAAAATATTAACAAAAAAAAAATTATATTAATAATAATATTGTATTGATAACAGCAATAAAAATAACTATATTATAAATGATAACAATATAATAATATTAATAATAGTATGAACAATAATAATAAAAAATGTTAATAAAAATTACAATGACAATAATAATTTTGAAAACAATGAAACGCATAATTTAAAATTAAAAAAAAAAATAATATAGATAATAATAATAAAAATAAAATAGAAAGTATAAACAAAACAAACAAAAAATATTAATAATAATAATAATAGTGATATATCGTTTTTATTGATGTTATTATTTTAGTAGCCATCCAAATAGTGTGTTTTTAGTTTGTTGAAAAAAATTGATAGAGATATTAAGTTTTCTATTTTAAAAGTATAAGTGAGATTGTTCCAAGAACTGGTGCACTGGTGTTTAATTGATTCACTAACAAATTTTATTGTCCTGGTATGTTCTACAAAAATGTTGTTGCATGAAGAGGATCTTAGAAAGTGAGAATGTTTGTTACGTACTTGAAAGAAAAAGTTCTTAAAGGATATTGGAAGTTTATCACGAAAATAATCCCATACAAATAAACAATTTAAAAGAGGAATACTATCGTTCAGCTTAAGAGTCTTTGATAATTTGTAAAGCAGAGAAACATTGTGAAATAGGTAATTCTGAAAGTAAATAACTTTAAGGGCTTTGTTTTGAAGAGACACTAGTTGGTTTAAGGATTGTTTTTTTTTACCCCAAACCTGACACGCATACCTAAGGTGCGATCCAAATATGGCATGATAAATGCTCATAAGTGTTTCAAAACATACAAAATGTCTTATCTTGGCTAACATTCTGATTGATCGACTTAGCTTTGTCTTAAAGTAAACGGATGAGACTTAAAAGAAAGACTCTCATCAAGAAAAACTCCTAAATACTTTACAGTTTTTGATGAAGTCAATATTTTTCCATTTATGTTAAATATGCATTGTTTCATGTTTTTTTGGTGTTTTGTTTTAAAGACAACAATTTTAGTTTTTGTGGCGTTTAATGAAATATTTATTTGCTCTAATCCAGTTAGTAACTGACTTAGAGCACATAAATTAACTATAATAAAATAAAATCTTGAATATTAAAAAATTAAAATAACATCTGTAAAATATAACATTTTTAAATATAAGAATATATTTAAATTTTTATAAAAATATACAATTAATATATTTAAATTATTAAAAAAATATACAATTAATATATCTAAATTATTATAAAACTTAAAAATTAAACTTCAAACAATTAAAGCAGATAAAACGAATATATAATTGTAAATATAACTTTACCTTCTTTTTTTTCTTAGAATTATAACCGGACTTTTTTCTTCACTTCTTCTTTTCAGCTCAGATAAACTTGTTAGATTGACATCTTTCTCCTTTAGAAATTCTTTAACAATCTGCCCACCATTTTTTGGCATTTTACTTTCATTATCAATGATATTATATTTTCTTGCAAGATCAGAGTAGTTAATTTTTTCCCCAGCTTTATAAACCTTTACCTCCTCAAGACATGAATTCAGTTGGTCTTTATACGCATGTGATGATCCAATATGTTTTTTAGGTTTTTTTACACCCTATTGTAAAAAAATATATATTACATTTAAACTTATAACTTTATATTAACATTTTCATGTACATTCTTTATGAATGAAAAACACAATAAAAAAATGTTTACTGTATCTACTTTTTCTTTAAATTCACAAGATCGCTGCTCTGCTTGTTTAAATGTTTCCATACTTGTAATAAGACGATGGTTATTTCTTGTCCTAAGTGAAATGTTTTTGCCATATGTTCTAAATATTTATAAATATCATGTCAAAAAATTTTGGTGGCATTAACATTTTAGAAATATTCATATCTACCTTATAACTGATGTTTCTTTCCATTGATTTTCAATATCTAGCACAGTGTTTTTAATTATATGCTTTCTTTGCTTGTACATTTCTTCTGTGGACTTGTTTTTTATTTTTAGTATTTTTGAATGAGTTTTTGTAAATGTAGTTTGAAATGTGTTCTGATAGTCTTTATCCAACTGTGTTATAATTGTGTTTGTAATGTCATTTAACATAAGCTCTTTATGTTTTAGAAGACCTTTTTTGGCTGCAATAGATTGATATGATTTGCAGCGATTCGGGAGTTGAGATAAATAATACTTAAACTTAATATCATTTTGACATCCAAGATAATCTTTTATTCTATGATCTGTTTTTTGTTTTACAGTTAAACAACGCCATCTTTCCAACGAAAATTCTTGCATGACCCCTGTTTTTATTGATGGATAAGTTTTTCCCAAAAGGCGAATGTTTTTTATGATTTGCTTGTATTTTGAAACAAATAAACTATATGACAGTACAAAGTTATTATTATCTCCAATTTGAAACTGGTTTTGAAACTGATTATACTGATACTTATACTTTCTTGAAGTATATATTTGTGTACCTTCGTCGGATTCCCTGTCTATCTTTATCATGAAAGCATTATAGGCGGCTATTTTCGCAAACCCACAAGTTAGAGGATGTAATATAGATGCCATTGTAAAACTCTGTGTATATTGACTACGTATTTTGATATAACATTATTGTAAATCACATATACTATGTTACGATTAGGTAATGTTACGGACAATATATTTAAAATTCCGGTATATTTTCAAATGTTAACTTTAGCTCTATACCGATTCTATTATAACAATTTGCAGACTTGTTGAATATCAAGTAAATCAAGTACTATTTTTAAATTTAGTCTTCGCTAGATGGGGAAACGACTTTATTTATTGCAAAGACATTTAAATGATATAAAATTTATATAGCAAATAAAAGAAAAAGAGCTACAACTGATAGCATTTCATTTTTTTGAGTAGTCTTACTTAATAAGTTGAGAACACCATCATTTTTAGTGAAAAAATCACGTTTTTTAAGAAATTATTGGATTTAAACACTTGGTAAAAGTTCTAGCTCTTTTGATCGACAATGATAATTAAATTTTAGATACTTTGTAGTTTAATTGAAGATAATTTGACGCAAACAGACTGAGCGAAATTGCATTAAAGTTCAAACTTCGACTTTATAAAAACTATAATTTCTGTAAATTAAAAAAAATATAAATATAATTTTTTTTTTCAACATAAGCAAAAACAGTTTTATTAAAGAAATTTAAAGTTTCATTTATTTCACTTCATTTACCGCCTTAGCAAAAGATTGTCAAAGTTAAGATTTTTTCAGAAATTTTTAGTGTAAATTTTACTGACTCGCCTTAACTACACTGAGCATGTGACAGCCTTTATTAACTCACATCCTCAATTGTACGAAGTTGATTCTGTACAGCGATGGTTGCTGTTATCAAAACCGAAACTATCTGACAGTTATATACCTAATCTGACAGTTATATACCTAAAAAAGTGCATAATCACATAGCTTTAAAACTATACATTGACAAACAAATTAAGACTGAAATCAGACATAAAACAACCTTATGGAACAAATTAATATCAAATAAATCCAAATCACCGATTTTGGTTCAGCAATACAAAACACAAAGTAAATTAGTCAAAAACATGGTGAGGTTAAAACGTACTGAATATGAAAAAAAAATCAGTGAAACATCAAAAAGAAATCCCAAGTTATTTTATAGTTATGTAAATTCTAACAAAAAGGTTAAAGGAGGAATAGCTTCAATGTCTAATGAATATAATAACATTGTAACAAATAGAGAATTTATAGCAAATATTTTAAACAATAGTTTCGATTCAGTTTGTGTTAACTGAGTTTGTGTTAAGATAAACATAACATACCAAATATACTGCAGAAGACTGAAATTTTTCTAGAAGTAGATATAAATAATAAATAACTTGCCATACTATTGAAAAAAAATTAAAAAACTTAGATGTTTACAAATCTATCGGAGTAGATGAGATAGGCCCATATGTTTTAAATAAATGTCATAGTACTCTCTGTGAACCATTACATTTAATATATATAAAATCGTTGACTGAGAAAAAATTACCTGAGCTCTAGAAATTAGCAAATATAACACCAGTTTTTAAAAAAGGTAATACGAACATTGCATCTAATTACAGGCTAATCTCATTGACTTCTATCCCATGTAAAGTTTTGGAATCACTCATTAAAGATGAAATTATGGATTATCTAATAAATAACAGCTCATTAAATGAAAATCAGCATGGGTTCAGAAAAAATAAAAGCTGCACAACAAACCTATTGGAAACTCTTGATATCATAACAGATGCACTTGAAAATGGCCACTCAGTTGATATGTTGTATCTAGACTTTGAAAAGGCTTTTGATAAAGTACCACACTCGCGTTTGATCACTAAACTTCAATCATATGGTATTGTGAGAAATTATCTGGGATGGATAGAGAACTTTTTAACTAACAGAAAACAGAGAGTGGTCCTTGGCGACACTGTCTCAGATTGGCTACCAGTTATTAGTGGTGTACCACAGGGATCAGTTTTAGGACCACTGCTGTTTTTGAATTTTATTAACGATTTGCCAGATCAAGTCAAAAACCCTATTAAACTTTACGCTGATAATAGTAAAATAATAAATACTATAAAAAATCCTAATGATTCAATAAGCCTTCAAAATGATATAAATAATATAAAGACATGGTCATCTATTTGACTCACAAAATATAATTATAAAAAATGCAAAGTTATCCATATTGGGGAAAAAAATCCAAATGCTACATTTATAATGACTGATATTGATTGCAATTACAATTATACATTGTGTAACACAAAAGCTGAACGTGATTTGGGTATAATGGTTCAATCCGATTTAAAATGGCACTCACAAGTTGATTCAGCAACCAGCAAAGCAAACAGAATGTTAGGTACCATAAAGAGAAGCTTTAAATATTTATATGTAAACATGGTAAAAATGCTCTATACAACGTTCATACGTCCACATCTTGAGTTTGCGGTCCAGGCATGGTCTCCATATTTAAAACGAGACATTGACAAGATTGAGAAAATCCAAAAAAGAGCAACCAAACTAGCACCTACAATTAGGAAGTTATCATATGAGGCTAGGTTGAATATTATGCAATTAACGTCACTGGAAGAACGTAGACTACGTGGAGATCTGATTCAACAATGTAAAGATCAGCATGGCCACGATAAAATAAATTGGGTTGCTAGCGATTGTGGAAATGCATTGGAGGAGGGTCCATGTCTGCAACAACACAAATTCAAAATGAGGAAGCCTTTTAGCAGAAATACCTTCAGATATCATTTTTTCCAAAATCGAGTTGTAAATGCGTGGAACAGCTTACCATCTGAAATAATAGAAGCTATAAGGTGTATTATGTACACACCAGAAGGAATTCTGAAATACAAGTTATTGTATTCAGATGAATGGCAACCACTGCCTTTGAGACCAGCACGTGGTCCTTTCCTTACCAACTAGACTTTACTCGCAGCCACGTAAATTTTCAAAGATGAAATTTAATCATCTCCGGGAGCTCAAACATGTTCTGCCCTCATATTGTTGGGAGTTTTATGACAATCTTCCACATGATTAATTGAGTATTACGACTTATAATATTAGTTGGGATTACTTTTATTAATGAAAATTGATCAGCTGTGTTAAAATTTTTTTTTTAAAAGATTAATAATTATTGTCGAGATATTTATTTGATGAGAAATTTGAGCGAGACACTAATTCAATTTTTTTTGATAAGATTGATAATTATAGTTTAATTATCATGATAATTATTGTGTCAACATTCATAAATGTTTTTGTTATCGTAAAATGTCACGTATAAAACACTGTAAGTTAATATTCGATATATGGTAAAAAGGATCAACTAAATTACTGAACATTGAAATAATTGTTATATTGACCATTATATTTGTTGTAGACGCGTAATGATTTTTTTAGTTCTGTACAATTACATTTTAGTTGTATTCCTTGCAATAATTGTCTATTCACTTAATTTTATTATCGTAAGTTTACTGTGTTTTAAACTGATTTTAAGTACCGTACCGTATTAAATAATTATACACATTATGGTTTACACATTAAAAATGTTTCACGGAATATTAAATTTTTAATTGAATACTTAGATTTCTTACAATTAGTATCAAAACAAGTATCATTTAAACAAAATTAAAGCCACAACACTAAATTAATTAGCAGGCTGAGCAAATTAAATTGATGAAACGTGCAAAATATAGTCTACACAACTTAGTTACCTTTTAGTGAAAAAATTTTGTCTATACCAAAAGTTGTCAAAATATGAATTACAAAAACACGTAACTGCTTTCCCCAACCCCTAGTGATTATAATTTTTTCAAAACATTTGATATCAGTTTCAAAACATTTGATATCAGAGACACGATTTAACAATTATTAACAAAAGATTATTATATGTAAGAATAAACTTTTTAATCTATTTAGTTTTATCTCTCTCCTGAACATTTATTAAAAAAAACAAGTTTCGAGGTTTTGCAGTTTCACTGATTATATGCCTAATTACTGGAAAACATGTTTTGCAGAACTTTTATTACGATTTTTACGAGTTCCACGAGTAACATTTAGTGCCAGATAATAACAAAAAAAATCCGAGAAAATTACAAGATTTTTTTTTTAACTTATTTAATTTTTGCATTATTAAACAATATTGAAAATTTTTTTTAAATATTTTTTTCTTATGTTATTGGAATCACTGTTTTAATTTTTAAAAACTAATAACTCAATTTTAGCCTTTGATTTAGCGTTTTTAAAATAGAGTTTAATTTTTTCAAAATGTGTATTTAAATGGTCACATTAACTGAAAAAACTTCAAATGACACTTTTCACCGATTCATAACTTCTACCGCATTATTATGATGAATGGGTACAAAACAATTAATTTTTAAACAAATAATTTTAATATATATATATATATATATATATATATATATATATATATATATATATATATATATATATATATATATATATATATATATATATATATATATATATATATTTGTATATATATATATATATATATATATATATATATATATATATACATATATATATATACATATATATATAAACATATATATATAATATATATATATACATATATGTGTGTGTGTGTGTGTGTGTGTGTGTGTGTGTGTGTGTGTGTGTGTGTGTGTGTATTAAAACTACTAACGTAGCTATAAAAAAATATAAAAATCATTCTTTAAACAATAGTTAAAGTGCATCAATTTTTAGTTATTTTGAAGCTGATTGATAATACTATTGATGATACTTCGCAACAACCGATAATGATATAGGTTTTCCATTGCATTCTTTCTCGAAATTATACATGTATGGTTGAGTCTTGCATTTTGAATATATTTTATGCTTCCTGAGCCACTTCTGAATATATACCTATTGGGAGTTCAAAACAATCAGAAATTTGATAACCATACTTTAATAGCTTAAGTAAAGTAGGTGGTACTATGTACCAGTTATATTTTTCCACTATCATTTTAGAATTAGCTAAGCAATATTTTATGAAGGCCTCCAAATCTTGGTGGTACCACTACATACAGCTTTTATTTTATTTCTTA